CGGGAGGGCCACTTCTTCCCTTCCTTTCCTCGCTCCCGCGGGTGCCTAATCAGAGAGTTAAAGCGTGTCTTCTCCTCCCAAATACGGACATACCAACACCGTGATGGGGTGTTCGTGTGTTTTGATACGGACTGGTTAGATCTACCGGCAACAACAGAGGGCACGCAGATGGGGCATATGTACACCTTGAAATGGTTGCATGTGCGGGGACCCCTCGAAGTCCAAAGAGGGTTTCACTTCTCCCTACTCCCCTTGCGTGTCTAATACAAGAGAAAAAACGTTTTCCCCTTCCAAGTAAAGGACAAACACGAACACACTAGTGTCAGTCCCTCGAGGGAGTGTCCATTAGGAATGTCAGGTCGCAAAGATGGGGGTGACTCCTCCAGCGACTCTGCGGCAGAAGACAGAATGAGGTCAAGAGAAGAGCTTGTGGCCCGAGGACGCAAGTTAGCTCGCTGAGGGATCAGATGAGCCAGCTAATGTCGCTAGTGGAAGGTACCATAAAGGCAAGCAAGAAGGAGGAGCCAGCTGGCACCATGGAGGGTGCCGCTGATCGCGGCGATGCTAGGGAGAGCGCCGCCGCGGAGTCCACGAACGCCGAAGGAGGGGCACCGTGGACCGGGAGTGCGCAGGACGGGAGGTACTTGCGCGAACCTGTTCGAGAGTCTGACCCGTCAGGGCGACACAGCGGCGAAGCAGGGGGCTTTGCCCCCCAAGAGGTGAGAGTAGCCGCTGCTCACAACCAAGATTATAGTACAATAGTGCCATGGGAGATGGTGGTGCTGCTGTTGGCTTTGGATGCGGAACCACAACCCCAGCGACGGGGTACCAAAGTGTGCGGTACACTTCTCCGTTCAGCGGGAAATCGAAAGATTTCAACGAATGGCTAAATGATTTCCGCATGACAGCTAATGGCGCAAACCTGTTGGAACAATTTGAAGAGAGCGGGAGCTTGGAGATCCCCGTCAACAGCGGAAAGAGCAAGTTTTCGCTGTCGCAGCAGTACCGGAGCGAGCAAGTAGAGCTCGCATTCCACGCGTGGAACTTCCTGTCTCACGCGTTGAAAGAGAAAGATCGGAAAATCATGAAGAGGGCAGAGACGCCCCAGGGAGCTCTTCGTGAGCTCAAGACCATACACGACCCTGAATCATCTGTTCAGCCGTCAGAGGACCTCAAGTCCCTGACGTCGACCAAGATCTCTCGAGGTGAAAACCCCTAAAACGCCCTCAATGAGATGCTCCAAACCGCAAAGTCCTTAACCGAGAAAGGACTATCTGTCAACGAAACATTCGTCCTTCACCTCTTCCTGGATGCCCTTTCGGACGAGAATGCCATGACAAAGCGCAACCTGCGACACGCGAAGGAGTTGACGCGGACCGGTGTGCTAAAGGAAGTAATGATCGAATACAAGGCGATCAAGGACAAGCTGGAGCAGGGGAAAGGAAAAGGGGCGAAGGGCGCAGAGCAAGCGTACTTTGCCGACGGTGAGGGCCGCAAGGAGCGGTACTCAAGTAGGAGTCAGGGGCAAGGTCGTGGTCGTGGCGGCGGCCGTGGCCGCAGCAGCAGTCGTGGCCGCGGCGGAGGCGGTCGCGGCGGCGGCGTCGGCGGCGGTCGCGGCGGCCGCTCAGGCAGATCCGGAGGAGTCGAGGAGAGCCAGGGAAGCAGCAGTGGAGGCGCCGATGGCGGCTGTGGCGGGGACTATAAGTTCCCGGGCCGGTGCTTTAGGGGTGGACATCGTGGACATCAAGCGATCGGCTGCACTACCAATGAGAAGGACTTCGTGCCGTGGTGTGCGCGCTGCGAGGGGTGGGGCCACATCAAAGAAAATTGCGCGACGGAGGAGGCCGTCCTAGCGCAAGTGATGGAGCATGAGAGCGACGTGGACTCTGTGGAAGACCAGGCGTTTTGTGCCGTGGCTGTCCCCACAGCCACCCCAACTGACCTCAACGAGTACCACCTTGCGCACGACCATGCCCACGAGACATTGCTCAGGATCACGGCGGAGCAGCAGGGAGTGCAGCTGACGGATGGACCGCTGCTACCCTGTCTTGGCTGTTCGATGTCCAAAGGACAGCTGCTACCTCTCGCAGATGACGAGGAGGGCGGGGAGGGAAAGAGCAGAGCGGATGCATCACGCCAAGGTTGGGGGGGGGANGGTGGACATCGTGGACATCAAGCGATCGGCTGCACTACCAATGAGAAGGACTTCGTGCCGTGGTGTGCGCGCTGCGAGGGGTGGGGCCACA